CTAGCTTAGTCTTTCTCACTCCCTCGATCTCAGGCTGGTTGAGTTACCATCTCGTTTCTTAACAATGGATTAGAAGCTAGATCATTGCCTTCTGTTAGTTAATGAAAGGCATTTGTAAGCACATATGTTTCTTAGTGTTAGATTGTTATAATAAATATTGTATGATAAAAATTTTTGTACCCATAATGTCAAACTTACTAGACCATGGTGTTTTACCTTTACATAAATCAAAGGGAAAGGATAAGAACTGACACTCTTTATAGCTAATGTGATCTAATTTCTTTTCATTTCTTTTTCAATAATAATTATTTAGAAAATCCTAAGAAAAACCATGGATATTAGAAAAAAAATACATAAAGCCCAACATTTTGTTTTACCACAAATTCATACAAATAAGACTTGGCTCCTCCAAAGAAATTAATAATCTACTAGTGTAATGTTAATATTGTTGACAACTAGAAAGTTTTCTTTCATCAATTTCCTAATGTATATCTTCGCAATGGCATAATGAAAAAATTTATTACAAATATTTAAAAGAAATTGCTAAATCTCTTATTCGTTGTAAAGTTAATTAAAGCTGTAGCTTTATCTAATACTAGGATTTTATTGATCTTAAATAGGACTCTTCCAAGGTAAAAGAGTTGTCGTTGTCCCACACTCCAGTTCTCTCTTTCATTAGTGACTGCTTAAGGTTGACCGGATAAAAGTAAGATAATTAATATCTATAAGTTATGCATAATTCAATGGAAGATGCATATGGAAACATTTTCCCTTTTCATTAGTCATTTTAATTATCAATAAAATTATATGTATAAGCTATAAATTCATAGTACAATTTGCTTGTATACATATCATTAATGAGATACCATCTAGTTGCTTGAATCAACTCACCAGATGAGTCTAGCTTATTTGGTAAATTACTGATAGTTGCCTTAACTTGACTTTTTCCAAAGCATACAATTAAGATTCTAATATTCTTTTGTATAGTTTTGTTGAAAAAAAATATGGGCTAAATGCTCATTTGAAAACATAATATCCACCATGACAAGCATATATATTATTGTTGGTTTGTTGTAACTTGTGTGTAGACTTATTTGCTTGGATATTTAATTTCTTTCAATTAGGACTTTAATTTGTAAGTTTCAGTATGTTTTTTATTTATGTGTAGTATTTGAATCATTTGATGAGACATTTATTTGCTTAGATTTGGTTATTGTGTAAGTTTATTTTTATTACTATTGTGGTTGTTGTTGCTATTATTATTGTTATTATCTTGAAAATATAATATTTATTAGGTTTGATAGAAAATAGTTGTAAAAAATCTCAAGCTCGAGTTCTAGTTCGAGTACAAATAATTGAGCTTTTGTCGAGTATAAGAATTGACCTTATCTTTACATGTTAATTGAGCCTAATCAAGTGAGCTTGAGTAGCTCAATTTCTATCTCAAATCGAGCTCAAGTTAAAAAAATAAAACTTGATCGAGTTCGAGCCAAGCTTCGAGCTTCGAATTTGGAGTCAAGCTCGAGCTTGAGCTCAAGCTTTGTACTGTATTAGCTCAAACTCAATCAATGACACCCCTGTTAGTGATTGTAGTTGAAAAAATTCTTCGTCAAATAGCAGTGCTCTAAGTATAAGTAGTCATTAATTTCATACATTTTAAATTTATGATTAATGTACTAAAACAATTTGAATGTTATTGTCTTAAACTTTGTATTACATACATGCTAGAATGAATTATGTATTTAGATATTTAAATATTTATAATATTCAGTTTATGAATTTAAAAATATTTATCTATTTTTTTATAATTATAATAGTGAACATTGAAATAAATAAAAAAAATTTCCTAATTTAGTAGCATTTGTAGTGAAAAATGTTGTTATAATTTCCTCATTTAGTAGAGTTTGTGTCCAAAAACGTCACTAAATTTAGTGGCATTTTGTGACAAAAATGCCACTAAATGAGGAAATTTAAATTTTGCAACATTTGTGCTTGAAAACGCTATTAAGTTAGCAACTTTTTGAAAAACGTTGCTATTTTCCTTAACGCAAGTATAGTCGACACTTTTAGCAACGTTTTTTGCAAATGCCACGAAATTTTGCTTGGTTATTCTTTTTTTCCCTTTGACTAAAAACTTCTTCCTAAAAAGTTTGAACTTTTTATTGCTTGATGATTGTTGATTGTGTTGCTTCTTGATTTTTTTATTATTGGTGATTTCTAACTAAGAATTAAGCTCTTTATATAGGGATTGAATCTTTTTTCAATTTGAAATATTTTAATACCAACTAAATCTATTATGATATTGTCAAAATTTCTTTTCCTTCTTGTAAAAACTTGATTCCTAAGAATTAACAAAATCAAACTCAACATTTAAATTTTAAATCTAAATAAAATCATAATTTTTTTAAAAATAAAAATTTATGTTCATTTTTTTACCAAATAAGAAAACATAAATTTTGTATGTCAAATTTGGTGCATATGCTAAACAATGCATTTTTGTTGGTTATTCTTTGTGTCAAAGGGGGTATAGATATATGATTTAAAAACACAAAAATACTTTGTTAGTAAGGACATTGCTTTTTATGAAACACTTTTTCCTTTTCCAACAAAAGAATAATATCACTCCCACTGACAAAAACATTGCTTTGCCTTTTCCTGTGGCAAACACCAATTCTTTTGATTCCCATTTACAAGACACGTCTCCTATGGACATTCTTACCTCCCTATGTGTCACATTGCATGATTCGTTAGATTCACTATAGACTCCACATGTTTCTTTGCCAAAAAAATTCTAATTCATCATTGGTCAATCCTTTTATAGCTTTTGATCCACCAAATCAATTATAACAAACTCGTTGTTTATCAGCCTATCTCCAAGATTATCGATCCAACAACATTCATACTCAATCATTTCCATCATCTTTTTCAAGCTCATGCTATCTTATTTTTATTTTTTTCTTATATCAAAAATTATCTTCATCTTATAATTTTTTTGTACCAAGCATTACTTCCATCATTGAGCGTAAAACATGTTGTGAAGCTGTTAAATATCTTAAATGGAAAGATGCCATTAATGTTGAACTACAAGCTTTGGAAAATAATAACACTTAGAGCAGTGTTGATCTACCTTGTGATAAAACTCCTATTAGATCATTGGATCTAAATGGGTTTTAAAAGTAAAGTATAAATTAGATGGTTTGATGGAGCAATACAAAGCTACACTTGTAGCCAAGGCCTACACTCGACAAGAAAGGATTGATTTTCATGAGACTTTTGCACTAGTTGCTAAAATGACTACTGTTAGGTGACTCTTAGCTATTGCATCTACCTAAAATTGGCCTTTGCATCAATTAGATGTTCAAAATGCTTTTCTTCATGGTGAACTTAATGAAAAGATCTATATGTCATTTCCACCTGAGTTTTCTTGTGAGGGGGAGCATTTTATTTGCAAGCTACAAAAATTTTTATACAATTTAAAGCAAACATCATGGTAATGGTTTGCAAAATTTTCTTCACCCCTCTTATCTAATGGTTTTGTGCAAGCTCAACTTGATTATTCCTTATTTACTAAATCTTCTTATAGTGGTTTCATGGCAATCTTGGTTTATGTTGATGATATTGTTGTTATTGAAAGTAATCATTGTTATTGAGTCTTTCAAGAAAACACTTCACCGATAATTCCAATTTAAGATTTGGCACTTTAAAGTATTTTTTTGGCTTAGTAGTTGCTCGCTCCAAACAAGGAATTCATTTGTTTCAAAGAAAATACATTCTTGAACTTTTTTCTAACACGGGCTTGCTATAAGCACGGCCTTTATATATTTCTATGGAGCAATACACTAAGTTTTCTACTTTGGAAGGAGAATTGTCTAATCCATCTCAATAAAGACATTAGGTTGGCATACTTATTTACTTGACCATTACAAGACCAGACATCACTTATTTTGTCCACATTATTAGTCAGTTTATAAGTCAACCACGAAAGCCACATATAAAGGCTACCCTTTGCCTTGTTCAATATCTTAAATCATTTCCAGGATAAGGAATTCTCTTTTCATCAGCTTTTGATTTTCAACTTCGAGTATTTAGTGATTTAGATTGGGCTAGTTGTTTAAATACTCATCACTCTATCACTGGTTTTTGTGCTCTATTTGATTCTTCACTAATTAATTTCTTGGAAAACCAAGAAACAACATACTGTTTCATGTTCTTTGGCCGAATTTGAATATCGTGCTGTGCTGCAATTGGTCATGAGGTACTTTGGCTCAATATTTGCTCCATGATTTGGGTATTCAACAATGTACACCATTTTTTCTTCATTGTGATAATAAGCCTACTTTTCACATAGCTACAAATCTTGTCTATCTGGCCAAACTAAACACATAAAATTTGATTGTCATTTTATCTATGAACAACTACAACAACTTATTCAAATTAATCATGTTTCCACATCACATCAACTTATTGATCTTTTCACTAAAGCACTTGGAAAGCATCAATTTTAGTATCTCCATAGCAAGTTGAATGCTTATGACATTCATTTTCTAACTTAAGAAGGAGTGTTAAACTATAAAGAGCACTTCATAGTAAAAATTAAATTTGCTTAATTACTGGTTATTTATTTCTTTATATTCATATTGTAAAATCCCTTATAGTTAGTTAAATTTTAGATATTTAGTTCTAGAGTAATACATATTTTATATATTTACTACTTTAATGAAATATATGTTTTTTTTATAGTAAAACTAACAATATGAAATATCCAAGTCCAAAAGGGTATTAATCTGGCAAACGACTTTACACCTAAAAGTTTTAGTACCATTAATTGGATTCTTATCACCTGTTTTATGCCTCCATCACCATCTTGCAACTACTCATTTGTGATTGACTTCAGTTCTCATTTGTCTGAAAGGCCAATGACCTTGATTCTCCTATACATTTTGATTAAAGATATTGCCCTATTTGCATTTTTAGATATGGCAATGAATCTCAATTCACCAAGGAATTTATAAAAATGTTTATATTTTGATCCAATAAAGCTATACAAGGAAAGACGAAACACAACTAAAATAAAATATTTAGGAAAGAAAAAAAATTCTTGATTAGTTATTAATTAATTCACAAAGAGGTAATCTAAACAAAGACTCAAAATACTTTAATTATCACTAGAGGAATGAAGCACGTAGGAAACTTGATACATTGAGAGAGAAAAGAAACAATAATGCAGGAAATTAAAAAGCTTCATCCTCATGAGGAAGGGAAGCATAAGTTTTGACGATAAAAAATTTTTCATAGATGTACCCAGCAAGCCCACCACCAATTAGGGGTCCAACCCAGTAAACCCAATGATCAGTCCAGTCCCAACTCACAAAAGCAGGTCCAAATGATCGAGCTGGGTTCATTGAAGCCCCTGAGAAAGCTCCACCAGCTAAGATGTTGGCTCCAACAACAAACCCAATAAGCATTGGGCCTAACCCATCGATGGATCCTTTCTTGGGGTCCACAACAATTGCATAGACTGTGAATAGCAAGGAGAATGTCAAAATAACCTCCCATAAAACACCTTGAAGGAAGCCTACTCCACTCTTCAATGAATGAATTGGAATACTCTGCACAACAAAAAAAAAAAAGAGTTAAATAAAGAACCAATTATAATAAAGAATTTCTAGTTGTTACCACTGTTTTACCTTTCATAGTCGATTGTTAAAAACAACCAAATTTAAACACAAAATAAAAATTTACTTGTCGTAGCCAATTCCTTTAGCCATTACATTTGCCTTCACACTTTTATCCTCTCTAACTTTCAAACCTTCAATCTACCATTCTTTGTAAATTCTTAGAGTGATTTGTTTGGTTAATTTCATTAACGAACAAAATCTCTGCCTACTAACTAGCTACGCGAAGGTGATTCTTCGTGGCTAGTTTTTTAAAGAGACTATGGCAACTTAGGCCAAGAAAGTTTGAGATAATAACAAGTCTCTGATACCCTTATATGTTTTAGGCCGTACATACGTTGCATTGATGTATTCAATGAGTTTATAGCCTTGGCCGACAAGCCTAGGTAATCTTTGAATTTTCATTGTGATAGAGATAGATCATTACAATTGTTAGTTTCTAACGAGAAATTCCTAGTAAGCACAATCATCAACTCATTTTGACTATTTCCCTGCGCTTTATACTAACTGCTTGTTACTCCTGTCGGTTGAATGGTTTCATGAAGTATTCAAATAATAGCGATGTGGGTAGTTCACTATTCGTAATGTCATGAGAAGTCCACTAAACCTTATCATTTAGAGGAAGGAGAAGTCATAACAAGATTTTTGTAAGTGAACTTGCAGAAAGATCATTGTTGAAACGTGCTCAGCGAACACATTAATAAAACAATAAAGGGGCGACAGTGCCTCTATGCCCTGAGCTCCTTCTAGCCTTAGGAGTGCATAACGGTTGCTTTGTTCCACCTCCTAGGTGAGCGAAATGATCGTTCTCATTGGCCCCTACTTCAATCAAATCCTAAAACCTCAACTTTTAAAACCAGTGACTTCAAGCAAATTGATTCCAATATAAAGGAAATTCATCTTTTACTTTTGTTTGATTGAATTATATTAAAATCTAAAATTTTGGTTGTTTTGTGTTTTGTGACATAGGAAAATTCATTTCCATCGTATTTCAAAAGAGGATGAAAATTCATACCTATCCTAGTTTGTAATCCTATGTAAATTTATTTTTGTAAAAAATTAGGATGTCAACGGATATTTGTAGTATTTTAAAGTCTTATGAATATGCATATCTTTATGTTTTTGAAAGCTTATGAATATGTATATTTGTATAATTTTAAAGTTGATAGATATGAAAATCTATAGATATGATTCAAAATATATATCTATATAATTTTAAAACTAATAGATATGAAAATCTATAGATATGTATATTAATTAGTTTTAAAACACTTAAGGATAGGTATATTCGTATGAGTTTGAAATCTCATAAATATGCATATACATAGATATGTAAATTCTGGACAATATGAAAATGATGAAAGGATTGAAAGGCAAATTGTGTGTGGTTAAATAAGTAATTTACTAAGAGAGTAGTTTGGTCCTAGGGTGTTCTAAATACATCACCAAATTTTCTCTATATGCTTTCAAATTTTTTTTCCAAAAATACTCACATACCAAATGCTAATTTTAACCTATTATAATGACAAAAATACCCTCTTAATAGCTTATACACCAAAAAATCATCACTCTTAAAAATCCATTTTTGAGAAATCAACATAATTCTTGCAAATGAATTATCGAGAACAAAACACACTTCTTGAAAAATCTATTTTCGAGAATTATATTGTTTTCTTGTAAATGGATTTTCAAGAGTTATTTGTATTCTCGAAAATCCAATTGCGAGAATACATAAATTTTTTTAAATATATATTTAATTATAAATTCTTGATAATGGAAAAATTGGGATCAATCTTTAGGTCATTAAAATATATCTTCAACAAATTGGCAAATCTGACAATAAGGACTAATGGCCGAAAGATTAGATAGTGTCGAATTTATTAATCTACTGATGACATTGTCAGTGACAATATTCTATAGTGTATTGAAGTTTGGACTAGCATACATGCACACATATGAGTCATTGATGTGCCTATTCTTATTTGATCATATGTGTGAATGGAAGAGACCAAGTCCTTTGGCATGCATGGCATAAAAATGTGTTTATCTTGAGCCTAGAAAATCAAAAACCCATACAAAACCAAAAAACAATTTCAATTTGCCATGCATGTTAAGAACATTGATTTCAATTTCATTCGCACACATAATCAAGCAAATGGGTTCCTAAGTGCATAATTAAGATTTTTTATTAAAAGTGAAATCTAGCTTTTCAAATATGGAGATATGAGAAACCTCATATCTTCTCGAATATCCATTTCCAAGAAGAATCAAGGTTTTTTAGTTTTTCGAAAATAGATATCCGAGAAGATATGAGGCTTCTCAGAAATGAATATCCGAGAAGCTTTGAAGCCTCTCGAAAATAGACATCTGAGAATTTTTAAAGTTTCTTGGATATTCATTTTTGATAAATTTAAAAGCTTTTCGGATATTTTTTTTGATAAACTCGATTTTAGGAAGTGAAAAAAGAAAAAGAGAGAAAGGGTAGGAATGAAAATAAAAAGTGAGGGGTGAGCTGTATTTAGTAGGAATAGGAAATTTAATTTTAAATTTGAGGGGTATATAGTATTAAATGAGCTGTAAATAAAATTCTCTTTTTATCATAGAAACATATGGGTGTATTGAGATTTTTTGGGTTACATATAGAAGCTCTCTTCTAATAATTAATAGGCAAAATTAGTTTGTAAGGAAAAAGCTTGTTCATAATTTGTTAACCAAATCTGTAACATTAGAGTCAAGCACTCGAAAATTCCAGGATATCAACTTTGTCAAACTAATTGGGTTGTTGTTTTAAGCAAAATCTTAAGAATTCTGAAACTTACCAATCCTCCAGTGAGATACTTGAGAAGAATACAAGCTGCTGAAGATGCCAACAACTGATCGATGCAATAGAGGATAGATCGGACCACGGTGATGTGACCACCTAAAAGCAAGCCAAGCGTGACTGCTGGGTTAAGATGGCCTCCGGATATGCGTCCAGCCGATGTCATAGCGCCTACCACAAGGGCATGAGCCACCGCAACCACAAACAAGCCCACCAGTGTATTTGCGCCCATCTCATCTGTTCATCACAGCACGTTAAGAAAAAAGAAATAAAAAATCCTTTGGAAAAGAAGTTGATCCATCATAACGGTGCAAATTAACTTAATTAATTGATTACCAGCGGCCACGGAAGTTCCGACTCCAGCGAAGACGAAGAGGAAAGTGGTGACAAACTCGACCACAAGGGCCTTAATGCAGTCAGGCTGAACAGCCTCTCGGCTCGTTCCTAAAGAGATTTTCGGCATGGTCACCGGAGTCAAGACTGAGCCTGGCTAGCTAGCTACTCGACGGTGACGCTGATCAAAGAAATACAATATGACAGGCCTTAAGGCAATTGGTAGCTATAGCTTGACTATTCTTGTTCGATGACATTGCTAACCTATATAAAAGCCTGATGGTTACAACTTGAAAAAAAAAAAAGATGGAATGTTATCATGTTACTATCAATCAATACTTTAAATTTTACTAATAATATACAGCATCTTCCCTCCCCTTATTATGTGACGTGGCACAAGTTGCCCTTTTTTTTTTAATTTTAATTTTTTTTTTAAATTTATAACTTTTTTCAATTTTTTTAAATATTTAAATTTTGGTGAGACCTACTTTATCAAGTTTTTTTTCTTTTTTTTCTTTAACAATTGTTTTCCTTTCTAAAATCCATCCATTAAATAAATTTTTTATGCAAAGTTTAATTCGGTTATCACATGGAACTTTTCATTTTTTAAAATTTTCTAAATTTTTTAAAATTTTTATTGCTTTTTTTTTTTAGTTTTTATTTTTAAAGACCAATTTTTTTCCATTTTTCTTTTTCATTTTTAAAATTTTTTTTTAGATTTTAAATTTTTTTAATGGGATACACTTCATACGAAGGGTATATCACCTATTTGTTTTTTTTTTCTACTATTTTTCTTTTTTATATATTTAACAAAGATTTTAAAGATTTTAAAAATTTTTATGTGATCCATTTGATACCTAAGATATGTCACATATAACGTCTTTTGCTTTTTTTTTTCTTTTTTTTACTTTTTTATTTTATTTGATGAATATTTTTTAGTATCATAAAAGTTTTTAGTGATCCCATTAAGTATTATTGATTAAAAAGTTTTTTTTTATCATCAATATTTTATTATCTATTTAATTTTATACTTATACTATATATATTATATTAATTATATTATTATATATTTTAAAAGTTAATTTAAGACATTAACATTTTAAACTCAATTTGAATGTTCATATAGTAATCGGTAATCTCTTTTTTTTATTTATTTTTTCTCGTAATTGCTTTTTCTTTTTTTAATTAATTAAGTTATTATTTAGCACCTTAATTTATTATAATAATGTTTTAAACTCAATTGGAAAGTTATGTTGTGTCCCAATGGGCTTCATTTTTCCTTTCTCATTCTTTTTCATTTTTTATTTTTTGTTTTTATGATTTTTTAAGTTAAATTAATTTTGTGATAAAAAAAAAAGAGACTAATCGAAATGTCCACTTAACACTTTTAATTAGTTTTTTATCTTTCATATTCTTTTATTTTTAATTAGATAATTTTTTTTAAATGTGTCAATTGATTGAGATGTCAAAATAGTTCATATTCAACGAGTTTCAATCCATCCTGATGCGATAGGAGTGATTTTTTTAAAAATTAAGTTAGAACGAGATTGTATTTTCTAAGAAAAATGAAATCAGAGCAAAAATGTGTTTAAAATACTTTGTCCTAACCCATTTTTTGAGTATATATAAAAACATATATTATTTTTAATTTTATTATATATATTATATTAAGAAAGTTATTATTTGATATCTTAATTTTAGAAATTAATATTTTAAACTTAATGAGAATGTCCCGTAGCACCTTTCATAAATTTTTTTATTTTTATTTTTTGTTTTTGTTCATTTTATTTTTTATTTTTAATTAGATAAATTTTGTAAAAAAAAATGAGATCAATTGAATTATCCACATAATACTCTCATTTAGCTTTTTTTTTATTATTTTTAAATAGAATAATGGTTTGGGGTTCAATCATAAGCATCACTTTCCAGTTTTCACATTTCACCATCAGGAAAAATAAAAGCAGAGAGTTTGGCATCTATAACCTAATGCTCAATCTGTCGTATTGAAATGAATATGTCCAGTTGGAGAGTTTCGTGCAGTCTTCTTCATGTTAGCTTTCCATCATTTAAGCCTGTCTTTGAGCCTATATTTTGACGTTCAAATAGTGAAAGATATTCAATCTCAATTGCAAACTTAATTTTTACTGACCAACCCCAATCCCCCCTCCCCGCTTCCGTCTTCTATCTTCCTTCAATATTTCTCATTTTCTTTTTTATTGTCTAGATAAAGTTTCTAGGGTACTGGAAGCTCACCTAGTTGATTTGTGATTAGAAGCTATTCCTTAATATTAAAAGATTAAAAAGATTTTAAAGGGCTAAAAAAGTTCAGAAACAAAAATTTAATAATTAGCTTAACTCTTATAATTTTATTTTAATCAATTAAACCATCAAATATATATATATATATATTCAGCAATTGAGTTTTTATTAAGCTAAAATTGATAAACCGTTAACATCAATTTTCATCTAATTTAAGACTTAATTTGAATAAAAATCAATGTTTAAAAGTTTAATTAAATAAAAATAAATATTTAAAAATTTAATTAGTCTAAAATAAAAATTTTAAAATTTTATTAATTATAATAAAATATTAAAAACTTAAATGACTATTTCATTTTTGTTCAAAAACTTTTTTAACCTTCTTGCCAAAAAAAGTGCTTGAAAATGACAAATATTAAAAGCCTATTAATTTCAACTAACCAAGCCACCATCATTTCCACCTAAAATGCAATAGCCCACTTGTACCATGTCCCTCATCACTATAATTCTTAATTCCGATTACCACAAAATCATTATACAACAATATCAAAGTCTTAATCCAATCATAATTGCCTCCAAAGTGATCTTTAAAGTTAAAGGTGATGGTCCTTGATAATTTTCATTAAAGTTTTGAATAAAATAATTGGTACTAAATATCTTTGACATCTGGCAATACCATACCATGTTTTTTTGTCTTCTAAAAAAATATGGCCCAATGCGTGCATCACCACTGCAAAACTTGGTCACTGCATTGTCATTTCGTTCATCATGACTGCACCATACAGCCCTGTCTCAATTATTAGTTTAATAAACATGAAAGAAAATACTATTCAATAATCTACATTAAAATTAAAACCAAAATCTTTTTATTAACAAAATGGTTTATTGGATCCAAACTCAATTACTTTCAAAGTGGAATATTTGATGATCAATTACTTCCAAACTCAAATTATGTAGCAATTATCGAATTACCAAACATCATTTAACTTTACTTGATTGATGGTACTAATTGTTTTTGGAATTGTAAAAAACTATGTACTTAATTATTATGTATTATTTTTTATGAAGACATAGTAGTGCGTTGTTGCGTGGTGAGCATATAATGAAAATATGCAAACAAGGAAACACGTCATTCATAATATTTAATTACAATTATAATTTGCACTTCTAATTTTATAAAACTAAAGCACATACACAAGAGATGGGAACGCTTTCTCCTCCAATCTCAAGCTTAAGCTCTGAATATCAATTACTATAAACATTTCATTTTGCCCGTAACAATTTAATATCATTTTAATTTCATTTTGATTCGGCTCATTTTAACACATAGTCCAAGACTTTTATTTTTGGACTCATTACATGATTTATTTTTACGAAACGCTCAAAATGAAACTTAAAATGGATAATTTAAAATGATCCACTTTTTGATCCAATTAAAAGTTCAAATTGATCGTCAAATTAAACCCAAAACCAAAGAATAAAGCTCATAACTGATAAAAAAGAAAAAGCCCAACTAAGGGCCCATTGATGTTCATTGGTTTTCTTTGTTGGTTTCGAGTAAAAAAAAAAAAGATTTCCTTTTATGAAATAACAAACCCTTTAATAGGAATAAAAGAATATTCACGGGGCTCAAGAATAAAATGAGAATGTGTTTTCCAAAAAAAAAAGGGAAGGTGGGGACGATTGTTTCATTTTAGTTGGAATATTTCCTTTCTAATTAATAAACCAATGTCTTAAAGCCATACATTTATTTATTAATAGACTTTATTTTTATGCGTGTTTCTAACCATTTATGTCCATGCAAATTTTGTTTTATATTTAATTGCAATTTAACTTTGATGCATGCTTAATTTACTTATTGGTTAAGTTTTTATATTTAAAATTTTTTTACATATATAACAATAATAGTAGTAGTACTAGTGGTGGTGGTGGTGGTGGTAATAATAATAATAATAATAATAATAATAATAATAATAATAATAATAATAATAATAATAACAACAACAATGAGAATCTTTGAAGATGAGATATTAAGGAAGTTCGAGTAGTGATTTCTTAAAATCTCTAAGTGAGAATATTTTTTTAAAAAATACTACCAAAGTAATTGAGTATTTAGGAAAGTATTCAATATAAAAGATTTTTTATTCATTTATTTTTTAAAATTATATTTATAATTAAATGATGATGTAAAAAAAAGGAAATATTGAAAAGGAAAAATGACTCTTTTTAGTAATGAAATTAATATAATAATACATGATTATTATAATTCACTATTATTTTCAAAAAAGATTAATAATAATAATAATAATTAAAATTTTGAATTTGAATAAAAATAAAATAAAAACAAGAAGGGAGGAAATAAAATGAAAATCTCTAAGGATGAATTCTAAGGAAGTTCGAATAGAGATTCTTAATAAATCTTTATGTGAGAATTTTTTCTAAATATATTGCAAAAGTATTGGGCTATCTAGAAATGTTTTCAATAAAAAGATTTTCTTTGTTTTGTTCCTTTAAAAAATTTATTAATAATAATTATTATGAAATAATTAGTTGATTAAAACAAAATTAAAATAAGTAACGAAAAAAAAATAAGGAAAATAAGTAGTATATCTTTAAAAAAACAATAAAATATGTAATAAAAAATGTAATAAAATAAAATATCTAAAAAAACTTTTGTATGCACATTGCACCTTATCATTTGTATTATATATTCTTGAAAGTAACATAGGTTTTCAATGATAGGATTATTAAGAAGTTAGAATAGTGATTTTCAAAAAATCCCTAAATGAGAAATTTTTTCTAAAAATATTACTAAAGTATTGGAATTTTCAAAATGATTTTCAAAACGAAAACTCTTTTTTACTTTTCACTTTTAAAAATGAACTTTTATGCAATGCATAGCGTCACAAGTTAATCTATATGCATCATATTATAAAAGTAAACGAAATTTCTAAAGATGAAATCTTAAAGAAATCTGAGTAGTGATTCTTTAGGAATCTCTAGGTAAAAAATTTATTTAAAATGCT